AAACCGGTAAAACTCCAACGATTCGATTTCATCATAAAAATATAAAATTAACCCCAATATTACCGCCAGATGCTTATAGCCCCTGCGTGAGACACTCCTGACTGCAGTAGAATCTAAAAGTCCTCGCGACATCTCGAATCGTCCCCGGTCTGTGAGGATGATAAACGCAGTTATGTATCGATGGGCCCCGGTACCTAAAAATTTCAAACAAAAATAATTCCAAAAATTTCTCGGGAAATTCAGCAAACTAGCGGAATTCCCGACTGGAAATTTGGAAAATAGTAGAAAAATTTTCGGTGAAAAATTACGTCACCTTCCAATGAGCCCAACTGTACAGCGGAGCGAAAGTCATCCATGTGGTAATTTTTTCCAATCAAAATCCGTTATCTCTGATTTACACTTCTACTCTGTGTTTATCTATAAATGCAATTTATAATGGAATTTCACCCTAGTGATATGAAAAACACTAGTAGAAAATATATTTCACGACATATTACGCCACTTCACGTAAAACTGGTGAAATTTTCCAATTATTTTATGTTCATTTATAAATCCGATGAAAATTATTTCACAATTTATTCACTCCTTCCCCTACTACCATTGCCACGATACTCGCTGGTCGTTTTCCCCAGCATCCCAAGTCTTCGCCACACCGACAAAAGCCGATCCCGTGACGGCTTGTCGAAGTTGCTCATTAGCTGCTTCTATGGAAGTTCGCCGATTATTATTAAGACCCTCAGCAGCTTCGAGAGGGACCTACTAGATGACATGACCGGAAGAAAAAAAGGGAAAAAGTGAAAAAAGTCCGAAAAAAATCGTAAAAAACAGAAAAAAAAGCAAGAATTACGATTTTTTTTTATCAAATTGGTGTGATAAAATAATACCAGATAAGACATTTTTTTCATCGCCACGCAAGCGACTCTGCCAATTAGAATCTTATTAAATTCCCTATACCATATCACAAGGAAAGAGTAGTGAAAATAATATTCGAGTTTCCCCCGTTTTACGTAAAGTGGCGTAAAACTCGGTGAAAAACGCGATATTCGCGGTGATATGCAGTAGTCGTGAAATATTTTTCTCACTAGTGTTTTTCAAATCACTAGGGTGAAACTCCAATATAGAGCAATCCCATACCATCTCTTCCTCACCTCTCGCACTAATACATAAGGCCATATCGGTGATCCTATCACAGGCCGATTTCCCTTAGTGAATTCAGCCCTGATGATTTCCACAGGGCCCAGTTGGGAGGAGTTGTTCGATGACTCCGCTGTAGGACTACTGTCGCTGTCGAGGCTCATGTCGTCACCCTTAACGACCCTCGGGGGTTCCGGATCAGAAATCCCACCTAAAATTCGAATTTTATGCACAAAAAAATCAATTATTATTTCAATTACGGTATGGGCTCAAAAGAATTCGATGATATGGTTACTACAATGGAGTTTCACAATAGTGATATGAAAAACACTAGTGAAAAATATATTCCACGACTACTGCATATCACGTTTTTCACCGAGTATTACGCCACTTCACGTGAAACGGGTGGTGAAACTCCATTATAAATACACATGTAATACCAAATTTCATGATAATCAGGAACCCAAGCCGACAGTGGGAAAATATGCACATGGTCAACCACATATGTTGGTGAAAAAATGAGAATTCTGGAGAAATTCTCATTGAGTCCTATACATTTTTACACAAATTCGTATGTTAACGTGTATATTTAGTGAGGAAACTGTCAAACTCAGCTGAGGAAAGCGAACATATTTTTCAGCATTGAAATTCGAGTCTTTTTAAGAGTCTGTTTCTCACACTTTAGGATCATTGAAAAATATGTCGATTGCAAACTGGGCGAAAGTCGATTTTTTATGCAGTTTTTTGCAAGTTTTTTTTATGCAAAAAGTTAATTAAAAGTTTTTTTATGTCGATTTGCCCTGAAATATTACCTGTCATTCCTTCTGCTACAGTGAAACGCGTTTTTATTCCTTTTTATGAGTGGCCCCCTACGACGGTAGGAGGCGATCAAAATGAAGAGAACGATGTACTGAGGAGAATAAGTCACACGGAGATTTTTACCCCGAGGTAATCGCTGGAAACCTAACTTTCGAACAAAGACCCTACACTGTTATTTGAGATTTAAGCAAACATGACGGATTTCCAAAAATAAAAAATACAATAAAATTTTCCCTGAAATTTTCACGATAAATATACACTGAGTAACGAGCCAATTTTCAACTCCTACAGTGCGAAGCAAACAGTTATGCATATGTAGATTTTCGAGATGGCTTTCTTTTAATTCGAGAGTAATACGAATATAGACTACGGAACGCTTCTAAAACGTTGGTGTCAATCGATTCACATTGTTATCATGTTGATATTACTCAAAGTTGACTTTCGGAGGTGTTGAAAATATTACTTTGCATAATAACGGTTTGGTTGTTGTTCACACTGTATTCATAAACAGAATTTTCCGCAAGAAAATATTCCGAATCTCACTGGGATTTTTTTAAGTGTCGACAACCCTTCTACCAGCAAGAACGATTAAACAAGTCTTGGGTAGAAGTGTACAGAGTACGGAAAACCTCCCAAAATTTT